TTACCTCATAATTTTGTAATATTTTAAACTTAAGATTTAATTTAAGTCTGCCCGAAATGCCTAGCCATGCTAGGTGTTCTAGTGGTACACTCTGTAATTATTATTTTACTACATGTAAACAATACAATAACCAAATTCTGTAAACTCAGCATTGTAATCCTTATAGAGAATAAACTTTGAATTTGAATTTGAATCTGTAAGGTGCCACAACTCTCTGGTATGATCTGTGAGGCTGCTACACACTCTGGTATGATCTCAGGCTACCACACACTCTGGTATGATCTGTGAGGTTGCCACCACTCTCTGGTATGATCTGTACGGCTGCCACACACACTGGTATTGTCTGTGAGGCTGCTACCACTCTCTGGTACAATCTGTAAGGCTGCCACCGCTCTCTGGTATGATCTGTGAGGCTGCCACCGCTCTCTGGTATGATCTGTGAGGCTGCCACCGCTCTCTGGTACGATCTGTGAGGCTGCCACTGCTCTCTGGTATGATTGGGGAGGCTGCCACACACTCTGGTATGATCTATCAGACTGCCACCACTCTCTGGTATGATCTGTGAGGCTGCCACCGCTCTCTGGTATGATCTGTGAGGCTGCAACCACTCTTTGGTATGATCTGTGAAGTTACCACACACTCTGGTATGGCCTGTGAGGCTGCCACACATTCTGGTATAATCTGTGAGGCTGCCACCACTCTCTGGTATGACCTGTAAGGCTGCCACCACTCTCTGGTATGAGCTGTAAGGCTGTCACCACTCTCTGGTATGATCTATGAGGCTGCCACAAACTCTCTGGTATGGTCTGTGAGGCTGCCACACTCTCTGGTATTATCTGTGAAGCTGCCACCACTCTCTGGTATGATCCGTGAGGCTGCCACGCACTCTGGTATTATCTGTGAGGCCTAACACATTGAGAACAGAAACAATAAAGGTGGGTTCAAAGTATTTCTAGAACAGTGAAGAGCCTTTCCTACCAACATAAACTGCTCAGTTAACAAAATTTGGTTCAAGAGAAAATTGAGAAATGGTGGTGGTGAGGAAGTGACTCGCTCATGGCTGGTCTATTCCCCCTTCTAAAAAGTCTGCATTCTGTATCAGTTGTCTTCTTTATTCCCGGACAGACCGTCAATCCTCATTGGAATAGGAAAGTGAATTCAAGCAATGGAAAACACATGTTGAAAGGATTAGTGTTCCTGAAAATGCTAAGAATCATGGGGAGTGCTTCACACAGTGAAAAGAAATGGAAGAAATTTAGCTGGGAGGAGTTACTGACGCCGAACATCAGTCACAGATTGAGAAGGAAGGGCAGTAGTAGTGTGATATCTTGACGAGAATCCTTCACTGCATAAAATCCCTTGCGATTCTCAACCTGGCTTTGCAAGGACACAGGGAGTCACTTCAGCTCGACGATGACTCCAATGTGGAAAATATCCTTGTCTTAGTGTAATTACTGGCCATCTTTGAACCTGTCATGAAAGAACACTTCACTCGTGTAGAAATTAATCATGGATCCATGTCTTATCTTCCACCGGATGTCCAGAACGAATTCATCCGCATGATGACATCCACTGCTCGCCAGAGTTTACCGAGAAGCATTCGTAAAGCGAGGAACTATAGTCTCATGTTCGATCGACTCCTGATCGGGCACACTGCGTGCAGATGTCAGTAGTAGTGAAGTATGTGGAAATTAATTCTGAGAGGAAAACAGTACGTGTTACAGAGTCCTTCCTTGGTTTTATCCAGATAAGCCAGAAGGATGCTAAGAGTTTGACTGAAAACATCTTGAAATAGCTAGAGGAAGAGCTGCAGGTCACGGTACAGGGGGGGAGGGGGAACTGAACTCGTGGTAAGTCGTAAAACCCCGACCGATGCATTAGCCACTGGGACATCTAGCTACAATGAGGTTCATGCAGCTAGGTATATTTTGAATGAATCTTATTGTAGCCAGCTGGCCCAGTGGGTAACTCATCGGTCTGGAGTTTTACGACTCACTCACATCGCATTCAATTCCCACCAGTACCGTGGTTTGTTTGCAATAGTGTCATTACGATTTCTTGAGTAACAGAGCTACAAGATTGTCGGTCACATTACTATGACACTGCAGCTTTGATGGCTCAATACAAAAGTGATGTTCATCAAAGAATAATTGAGAAAAACAACCTGGCAGTGTTTGTGAGTTACGACACTCACTCAACTTAGTGAGTGTACATGCAGCCAAACAGGATACAATGATGATTACATTTTATGGAGCCACTGAAGCTCTCTATGTATTCTCTCGTTCAACATAGTACTGGGGAAAACTAAAAAATGCTGTGCCTGTGGTTGTTAAGTCGGAATACAAAACCAGGTGGAGTGCAAAGACAGCAGTGAAGCCCGTCAACAAGTACCTTGAGATAACTGAAGTTCACCAGCACATGACAGACAATGAAAACGAGACCAGTGAAACAATAACTGATGCAAAACAGATGTAAACCGCATGTTGAATTACGATTTTCTGACTGCTAGGATTTTGGAACAAAGTGCTCACTCATATTGACCATATTCAAAAGAGGCTGGAGGATCCTAGTATGAACTTCCACGATGCTGCTCTGGATTTTGATGGTGAAAAAGATGTGTTGGTCAGTGAGTCACTCCAAAAAGGACTCGGTCTCTGTCAAGAATGGAATATTGAAGTTGAAAGACGTCAGAGATGAAAGAAACGAATGGTTGATGAGACCTTGAGATACGCTGGATTAACAGCCAAGGAGGAAATGGAAAGAGTCATGATGGAAACACTCGATCGTCTTCACAGAGAAATGAGTGAAAGGTCACTCGTCTGCAAGACACAGTCCCTCCATGTCGAGGGACTGTTATGGCACCGACAGTAACGACCTAAAGAAGTGCGATAATTTGGGCGAATTGTACAGCTGTGATGTTGATGGACAGCAGCTATGCCAAGAAATTTTGGATCGAAGAATGTTGTTATAAAGTCGAGCCAACATGAAAATATCAAAACCTAAAGAGCTTCTCAAATTTACTGTTTAGTATGGAGAGCGTCTTCCCCAATCCTAGCATTGCTATTCAGACAACGCTGACCACTGCAGTTTCCACCGCCAGTTGTGAGAAATCATTTAGCAAGTTAAAACTAATACTTTCATATTTGAGAGCCTCCATAGGTCAAGGCAGACAGACTCTGTGTTCTTGCTCTGTTGAGCGTAGAATGAGAAGAAACTGATTTCAGCACATCATAGATCAATTTGCATCAGTGAGAGCAAGAAAAGTGCAGTTGTAATTTTCACGTAGAGCCATAATTTCTTAATTAACCCTTTGAGGGTTTTCGTCGTACTAGTACGTTTTACGCGTAGGGGTTTTTGACGTACTAGTACTCATAAATTCTAGCGGCCTCAAATCTAGTGGGAGAAAGCTGGTAGGCCTTCATATGAAAGAATGGGTCTATGTGGTCAGTGTGCACAGTCTAAAAAAAATCCTGCAGCACACAGTGCATAATGAGAAAAAAAAAACTTTGACCATTTTTTTTAATAAATCAGCGACTTTGCAGTGTATTTTCGTATGGTATTTATTGTTGTATTCTAGTTTTCTTGGTCTCATTTTATAGAATGGAAGAAATATTACTGAAATTGAGATGATTTTGACTGGTTTTACAATGAAAGGTGCCTTGAAATTGAGCTCAAAGTAGCAGAAATGTTCGATTTTTACCAAACTTCAAAAGTAAACAAATCGTGCCAAGCGTGCAATACACGTCAACTGGTGAGTCTAATATTCTTTCACAAGTGCACCAATAATATTTATACCATTTTTTACACTAATGCAGTAGTCTGCATAACAGTAAATCTTATATTTTTTGTGAGAATAAAAATTCAAAGTGGAAAGCAAAAGAATATAAGAGGAGCCTTGAGACGTGACTAATGACTAGAGGAAATGTCATTTTAGTGCCAGGAATGTCTTTCTTGTTTATTCTGGACCCTATTCGGAAATTGGCATCTTTTGAAATTTGTGTGAAATTGGCAAAATTGCTAAATTCTGACCACTGTACTGGATAGTTGAATTTACAAATGGGTGGTTTCTTGCACCCATTCGATAGAAAAAATGGAGTTCTAGCGAAATATTCATGTTTTTTGTCGACTAGTACAGTGAAATTGGCCGAAAATGGGGCTCAAAGTGGGCAAAATCGCCGATGCGTAAACATCGCCGAGACCGCTAACTTTGCGAGAGCATAATTCCGTAAGTTTTCTATCAAATTTCAAACTTTTGGTGTCGTTATGATCGGGAAAAGATTCTCTATCTTTTCATAGGAGAAAATAATTTTTTTTTTTTAAATTTGGCCGACCCTGAGAACGAGTTTCGGAGAGGGCCTGTCGACCCTCAAAGGGTATTAAAAGATTATCAAACTTGTATTTTTGAGGTGATTTTATTGTAAAGTTGTCTAAAAGATGGGTGTCAGATATTTGGACAGGAGCGCAATTTCAGTGCTTGCCATAGGCGCTATTTTCCGTAGATACGCCTCTGGTGTTAGTTCAGAGTGAGTAAAGACATGCGGTGCCTAGAATTTGAAGCGCTGCTGGAGTGGGAACAAGGCGGCATATAGGAAGACAGAAGAAACCAGTTACCCAGACCTGAGTTGTGATGATGGGGACACAGAACTACACTCTGAGAGGTGGAAGTGATGTAATTCAGAGGGCCACTTGGCGAAACATCTACTGAGCAAGTGATGATGAATGTGGTTCCTTCTCAAAGTTACCACGCCGTGGTGAGGAAACAGCATAATGTCGCAGACAAAAAAATATCTGAGAATGAGTCATGAACACACATTACAATAACACTGAACAAGGTTCACTATACCAAGGTTAGGGTGGGTAAGGTTTGTCAGGAAACAGGACAAGTGTTGCCTGACGCGGGTCTTAGTCATATGATGACCTATAGATGGAGCTTTTAGTCATCTGACAGAGGCCTTCCACTGGTAATAATTATAACCACTTTTATTTCTCAGTGTACTTACTTTCTCTGTTTCTTCTCGAGGAGGTTGTTGCGCGAGGCTTGTTCCTCCAGAAGTATCTTGAGGTCGTTCAACTCTGCTTGTAACCTCTGGGACTTGCGTTTCAACTGTCCAACCACCTGCCGCTGTTCCTCTGTCTCCTCGTACGCGTCTGATACCTGAAACATTGTTCTCAATAACACTCCTTGCTAATAAATAACAATGTTGCCATCAATATCACTCAGTGAATGATAAATAACATAGTCAATAACTCTCGGTGAATGGTGAATAAAATTGTCAATAACAGTGAATGTTAAATAACATTGTTCTTTAGAGGGCAGTACACAACACTGGTGTAGAGGACAGTACACAACACTGGTGTAGAGGACAGTACACAACACTGGTGTAGAGGGCAGTACACAACACTGGTGTAGAGGCCAGTACACAACACTGGTGTAGAGGGCAGTACACAACACTGGTTTTAGAGGGCAGTACACAACACTGGTGTAGAGGACAGTACACAACACTGGTGTAGAGGCAGTACACAACACTGGTGTAGAGGGCAGTACACAACACTGGTGTAGAGGGGCAGTACACAACACTGGTGTAGAGGGCAGTACACAACACTGGTGTAGAGGACAGTACACAACACTGGTGTAGAGGGCAGTACACAACACTGGTGTAGAGGACAGTACACAACACTGGTGTAGAGGGCAGTACACAACACTGGTGTAGAGGACAGTACACAGCACTGGTGTAGAGGACAGTACACAACACTGGTGTAGAGGACAGTACACAACACTGGTGTAGAGGGCAGTACACAACACTGGTGTAGAGGGCAGTACACAACACTGGTGTAGAGGGCAGTACACAACACTGGTGTAGAGGCCAGTACACAACACTGGTGTAGAGGGCAGTACACAACACTGGTGTAGAGGACAGTACACAACACTGGTGAAGAGGGCAGTACACAACACTGGTGTAGAGGGCAGTACACAACACTGGTGTAGAGGGCAGTACACAACACTGGTGTAGAGGACAGTACACAACACTGGTGTAGAGGCCAGTACACAACACTGGTGTAGAGGGCAGTACACAACACTGGTGTAGAGGACAGTACACAACACTGGTGTAGAGGACAGTACACAACACTGGTGTAGAGGGCAGTACACAACACTGGTGTAGAGGGCAGTACACAACACTGGTGTAGAGGACAGTACACAACACTGGTGTAGAGGGCAGTACACAACACTGGTGTAGAGGGCAGTACACAACACTGGTGTAGAGGCCAGTACACAACACTGGTGTAGAGGCCAGTACACAACACTGGTGTAGAGGGCAGTACACAACACTGGTGTATGAGGGCAGTACACAAACACTGGTGTAGAGGGCAGTACACAACACTGGTGTAGAGGGCAGTACACAAAAACTGGTGTAGAGGACAGTACACAACACTGGTGTAGAGGACAGTACACAACACTGGTGTAGAGGACAGTACACAACACTGGTGTAGAGGGCAGTACACAACACTGGTGTAGAGGGCAGTACACAACACTGGTGTAGAGGGCAGTACACAACACTGGTGTAGAGGGCAGTACACAACACTGGTGTAGAGGCCAGTACACAACACTGGTGTAGAGGCCAGTACACAACACTGGTGTAGAGGGCAGTACACAACATGGTGTAGAGGGCAGTACCAACACTGGTGTAGAGGGCAGTACACAACACTGGTGTAGAGGGCAGTACACAACACTGGTGTAGAGGACAGTACACAACACTGGTGTAGAGGACAGTACACAACACTGGTGTAGAGGACAGTACACAACACTGGTGTAGAGGGCAGTACACAACACTGGTGTAGTAGGGCAGTACACAACACTGGTGTAGAGGGCAGTACACAACACTGGTGTAGAGGGCAGTACACAACACTGGTGTAGAGGGCAGTACACAACACTGGTGTAGAGGGCAGTACAAAAACACTGGTGTAGAGGGCAGTACACAACACTGGTGTGAGAGGCAGTACACAACACTGGTGTAGAGGACAGTACACAACACTGGTGTAGAGGGCAGTACACAACACTGGGTGTAGAGGGCAGTACACAACAAATGGTGTAGAGGGCAGTACACAAAAACTGGTGTAGAGGGCAGTACACAACACTGGTGTAGAGGGCACTACACAAACACTGGTGTAGAGGGCAGTACACAACACTGGTGTAGAGGGCAGTACACAACACTGGTGTAGAGGACAGTACACAACACTGGTGTAGAGGGCAGTACACAACACTGGTGTAGAGGGCAGTACACAACACTGGTGTAGAGGGCAGTACTCAACACTGGTGTAGAGGGCAGTACACAACACTGGTGTAGAGGGCAGTACACAAACACTGGTGTAGAGGGCAGTACACAACACTGGTGTAGAGGGCAGTACACAACACTGGTGTAGAGGGCAGTACACAACACTGGTGTAGAGGGCAGTACACAACACTGGTGTAGAGGACAGTACACAACACTGGTGTAGAGGGCAGTACACAACACTGGTGTAGAGGGCAGTACACAACACTGGTGTAGAGGGCAGTACACAACACTGGTGTAGAGGGCAGTACACAACACTGGTGTAGAGGACAGTACACAACACTGGTGTAGAGGGCAGTACACAACACTGGTTGTAGAGGGCAGTACACAACACTGGTGTAGAGGCAGTATACAACACTGGTGTAGAGGGCAGTACACAACACTGGTGTAGAGGCAGTATACAACACTGGTGTAGAGGCAGTACACAACACTGGTGTAGAGGACAGTACACAACACTGGTGTAGAGGACAGTACACAACACTGGTGTAGAGGGCAGTACACAACACTGGTGTAGAGGGCAGTACACAACACTGGTGTAGAGGACAGTACACAACACTGGTGTAGAGGCCAGTACACAACACTGGTGTAGAGGGCAGTACACAACACTGGTGTAGAGGGCAGTACACAACACTGGAGTAGAGGACAGTACACAACACTGGTGTAGAGGCAGTACACAACACGGTGTAGAGGGCAGTACACAACACTGGTGTAGAGGGCAGTACACAACACTGGTGTAGAGGACAGTACACAACACTGGTGTAGAGGGCAGTACACAACACTGGTGTAGAGGGCAGTACACAACACTGGTGTAGAGGGCAGTACACAACACTGGTGTAGAGGGCAGTACACAACACTGGTGTAGAGGGCAGTACACAACACTGGTGTAGAGGCAGTACACAAACACTGGTGTAGAGGGCAGTACACAACACTGGTGTAGAGGCAGTACACAACACTGGTGTAGAGGGCAGTACACAACACTGGTGTAGAGGGCAGTACACAACACTGGTGTAGAGGGCACTACACAACACTGGTGTAGAGGGCAGTACACAACACTGGTGTAGAGGGCAGTACACAACACTGGTGTAGAGGACAGTACACAACACTGGTGTAGAGGGCAGTACACAAACACTGGTGTAGAGGGGCAGTACACAACACTGGTGTAGAGGGCAGTACACAACACTGGTGTAGAGGACAGTACACAACACTGGTGTAGAGGGCAGTACACAACACTGGTGTAGAGGGCAGTACACAACACTGGTGTAGAGGGCACTACACAACACTGGTGTAGAGGGCAGTACACAACACTGGTGTAGAGAGCAGTACACAACACTGGTGTAGAGGGACAGTACACAACACTGGTGTAGAGGGCAGTACACAACACTGGTGTAGAGGGCAGTACACAACACTGGTGTAGGAGGCACTACACAACACTGGTGTTAGAGGGCAGTACACAACACTGGTGTAAGGGCAGTACACAACACGGTGTAGAGGACAGTACACAACACTGGTGTAGAGGCCAGTACACAACACTGGTGTAGAGGACAGTACACAACACTGGTGTAGAGGGCAGTACACAACACTGGTGTAGAGGGCAGTACACAACACTGGTGTAGAGGACAGTACACAACACTGGTGTAAGGACAGTACACAACACTGGTGTAGAGGGCAGTACACAACACTGGTGTAGAGGGCAGTACACAACACTGGTGTAGAGGGGCAGTACACAACACTGGTGTAGAGGACAGTACACAACACTGGTGTAGAGGGCAGTACACAACACTGGTGTAGAGGGCAGTACACAACACTGGTGTAGAGGGCAGTACACAACACTGGTGTAGGGACAGTACAACACTGGTGTAGAGGGCAGTACACAACACCGGTGTAGAGGGCAGTACACAACACTGGTGTAGAGGACAGTACACAACACTGGTGTAGAGGGCAGTACACAACACTGGTATAGAGGGCAGTACACAACACTGGTGTAGAGGGCAGTACACAACACTGGTGTAGAGGGCAGTACACAACACTGGTGTAGAGGACAGTACACAACACTGGTGTAGAGGGCAGTACACAACACTGGTGTAGAGGGCAGTACACAACACTGGTGTAGAGGGCAGTACACAACACTGGTGTAGAGGACAGTACACAACACTGGTGTAGAGGACAGTACACAAAACTGGTGTAGAGGGCAGTACACAACACTGGTGTAGAGGGCAGTACACAACACTGGTGTAGAGGGCAGTACACAACACTGGTGTAGAGGACAGTACACAACACTGGTGTAGAGGGCAGTACACAACACTGGTGTAGAGGGCAGTACACAACACTGGTGTAGAGGGCAGTACACAACACTGTGTAGAGGGCAGTACACAACACTGGTGTAGAGGGCAGTACACAACACTGGTGTAAGAGGGCAGTACACAACACTGGTGTAGAGGGCAGTACACAACACTGGTGTAGAGGACAGTACACAACACTGGTGTAGAGGACAGTACACAACACTGGTGTAGAGGGCAGTACACAACACTGGTGTAGAGGACAGTACACAACACTGGTGTAGAGGGCAGTACACAACACTGGTGTAGAGGACAGTACACAACACTGGTGTAGAGGCCAGTACACAACACTGGTGTAGAGGGCAGTACACAACACTGGTGTAGAGGGCAGTACACAACACTGGTGTAGAGGACAGTACACAACACTGGTGTAGAGGGCAGTACACAACACTGGTGTAGAGGGCAGTACACAACACTGGTGTAGAGGACAGTACACAACACTTGTGTAGAGGACAGTACACAACACTGGTGTAGAGGGCAGTACACAACAC